ATGTGATGAAGATTAAGGAGTACACTTACCATGATGAGCACTGAGTGACGTACAGAATTGTTGAATCACTATCTCGTTCACTTGGAACAAAAATGACAGTGTATGTTAACTGTACTGGAATTAACATAAATTTTTAAAAGGGGAGAGTGAGAAGATTGTGAGGAAAAACACATCTTCATCAGCTCCAGAAATGACCTCATTACAGCAAATGTGCTCGAGCCTCCAGGGGCTTCAGAAGGTTAGGACAGTTTGTGGAAAATTTAGGCCAAAATATGGTCTCTGGACCAGCCATGGCTTATCTGGAGACTTGTTGGAAATATATGAAAACTGAACCCTGGCCTACTACTTCAGAAACCGTGTTCTGAGAAGCCCTGTAGGTGATTCAGAAATACATGAAAGTTTGAAAGCCACTGCTACAAAGGAATGAGATGCCTTTTTAGGGTGAAAAAGTGGTGTCAAAGCAAAGATTGCATCAAAGTTTAAAAGACAAGGAAAACCTTATTGAAGAGTATTGCAAAAAAGAGAGAGGGCAGAACAACTCAGTCTGAATTCCAACTCCCCTGAGGTAGAGGGTGGGAGGGTTTTTAAGGCCTGGGGTGAGCTAATGACAAAGTACTAGAGGATATTGGCAGTGCAATTGTAAATGGGATTGAGTCCTTAATTTCTCTTTCTTCTGTCTCATTGTTAGTGTATAGAAATGCAACTGATTCTGTGTGTTGATTTTCTATCCTGCAACTTTGCTGAATTCATGTATCAGTTCTAGCAATTTGTTTATGGAGTCTTTTGGGTTTTCTACATATGGTATCATATTGTCTGCAAAGAGTGAAACTTTGACTTGTTTCTTGCCAATTTGGATACCTTTTTTTTTTTCTTTTTGTTGTCTGCTTGCTGAGGCTAGTACTTCCAAACTGTTAAAGAATGGTGAGATTGGACATCCCTGTCATGTTCCTGACCTTAAGGGAAAAGCTCTCACTGTTTCCCCATTAAAAATGATATTCACTGTAGGCTTCTCATAGATGGCTTTTATGATTTTGAGGTATGTTCCCTCTATTCCTACACTGTGGAGAGTTTTAACCAAGAAAGGATGCTATATTTTGTCACATGCTTTTTCTGCATCTATTGAGAGGATCATATGGTTCTTGTCCTTTTTTTAATGTGGTGTATGATATTGATTGATTTGAGGTTGTTGAACCACCCTTGCAGCCCAGGAATAAATCCCACTTGGTTGTGATGAATAATCTTTTTTTTTTTTTAAAGATTTCATTTATTTATCAGAGAGGGAGAGCATAAGCCAGGGGGAAGGGGCAGAGGGAGAGAGAGAAGCAGACTCCCCACTGAGCAGGGAGCCTAATGCAGGGCTTGATTCCAGAACCCTGAGATCATGAGCTGAGACAAAGGCAGATGCTTAATTCACTGAGCCACCCAGGCACCCCAATAATCCTTTTAATGTACTGTTGGATCCTATTAGCTAGTATCTTGGTGAGAATTTTTTGCATCTATGTTCATCAGGGATATGGTTCTGTAATTCTCCTTTTTGATGGGGTCTTTGGTTTGGAGATCAAGGTAATGCTGGCCTCATAGAAGGAGTTTGGAAGTTTTCCTTCCATTTCTGTTTTTTGAAACAGCTTCAGAAGAATAGGTATTAATTTTTCTTTAAATGTTTAGTAGAATTTCGCTGGGAGGCCATCTGGTCCTGGACTCTTGTTTGTTGGGAAATTTTTGATTACTGATTCAATTTCTTTGCTGGTTATGGCTCTGTTCCGGTTTTCTATCTCTTCCTGTTTCAGTGCGGATAATTTATATGTTTCTAGGAATGCATCCATTTCTTCCAGATTGCCTAATTTGTTGGCATATACTTGCTCATAATATGCTCTTATAATTGTATTTCTTTGGTGTTGGTTACGATCTCCTCTTTATTTATGATGTTATTTATTTCAGTTCTCTCTTTTTTCTTTTTGATAAATCTGATGGGGTGTTTATCGATCTTGTTAATTCTTTCAAAGAACCAGCTCCTAGTTTCATTTATCTGTTCTGCTGTTCTTTTGATTTCTGTTTCACTGATCTCTGCTCTAATCTTTATTATTTCTTTTCTCCTGCTGGATTTAGGCTTTATTTGCAGTCTTTCTCTAGCGCCTTTAGTTGTAAGGTTAGGTTGTGTATTTGAGACTTTTCCTGTTTTTTAGAACGGCCTGTATTGCTATGTACTTCCCGTTAGGACCACCTTTGCTGCATCCCAAAGGTTCTGAACAGTTGTGTTTTCATTTTTATTTGTTTCCATGAATTTTTTAAATTCTTCTTTAATTTTCTGGTTGACCCGTTCATTCTTCAGTAGGATGTTCTTTAACCCCCATGTATTTGTGTTCCTTCCAAATTTTCACTTGAGATTGTATTCAAGTTTTAAAGCATTATGGTCTGAAAATATGCAGGGAATAATCCCAATCTCTTGGTATTGGTTGAGACCCCACTATGTGATCTATTCTGGAGAATGTTCCATGTGTACTCGAGAAGAATGTGTATTCTGTTGCTTTAAGATGGAAATAATTCAATCAGAGAAAGACATGTATCATATGACCTCACTGATATGAGGAATTCTTAATCTCAGGAAAGAAACTGAGGCTTGCTGGAGTGGTGGGGGTGGGAGGGATGGGGTGGCTGGGTGATAGACATTGGGGAGGGTATGTGCTATGGTGAGCACTGTGAATTGTGTAAGACTGTTGAATCACAGACCTGTACCTCTGAAACAAATAATACATTATACGTTAAAAAAAAAAAAAAGAAGAAGATAGGAGGGGAAGAATGAAGGGGGGGGAAATTGGAGGGGGAGATGAACCATGGGAGACTGTGGACTCTGAAAAACAAACTGAGGGTTCTAGAGGGGAGGGAGTGGGGGGATGGGTTGGCCTGGTGATGGGTATTGGGGAGGGCACGTTCTGCATGGAGCACTGGGTGTTGTACGCAAGCAGTGAATCGTGGAACACTACATCAAAAACTAATGATGTAATGTATGGTGATTAACATAACATAATAATAATAATAAAAAAGATGGAATGCTCTGAATATATCTGTGAAGTCCATCTGGTCCAGTGTGTCATTGTTGATCTTAGATGATCTGTCCATTGCTGTGAGTGCAGTGTTAAAGTCCCCTACTATTATTATTATCAATGTGTTTCTTTAATTTTGTTATTAATTGGCTTATATAATTGGCTGCTTCCAAGTTAGGGGCATAAATATTTACAATTGTATCTTCTTGTTGGGTAGACTTTTATTATGATATAGTGTCCTTTTTCATCTCTTACTACAGTGTTTGGTTTAAAATCTAGTTTGTCTGATATTCGGGTGGCTACGCCAGCTTTCTTTTGTTGTCCATTAGCATGATAAATGGTTCTTAACCCCCTCACTTTCAATCTGGAGGTGTCTTTGGGTCTAAAATGAGTCTTATAGACAGCATATGGATGGTTTTTTTTATCCAATTTGCTACCCTGTGTCTTTTGATAGGAGCATTTACTCCATTTACATTCAAAGGAATTATTGGAAGATACATATTTAGTGCCATTGTATTACCTGTAAAGTCAGTTTCTATAGATTGTCTCTGTTTTTTTAGGGTCTGTGTTACTTTTGGGCTCTCTTTTTGCTTACAGAATCAATCCCCTTTAATATTTCTTGCAGGGCTGGTTTAGTGATCACAAATTCTTTTAGTTTCTGTTTGTCCTGGAAGCTCTTTATCTCTCCTTCTATTCGGAATGACAGCCTTGCTAGATAAAGTGTTCTTGCATGCATATTTTTCTCATTTAGCACCTTGAATATATCATGCCAGTCCTTTCTGGCCTGCCAGGTCTCTGTGGACAGGACTGCTGCCATCCTTATGTTACTACCCTTGTTGGTTAAGGACCTCTTGCCTGGAGCTCCTTTCAGGATTTTCTCTTTACCTCCGAAATTTGCTAGCTTCACTATTATGTATCAAGGTGTTGACCTATTTTTATTGATTTTGGAGGGGATTCTGTGTGCCTCCCGGATTTGAATGCCTGTTTCCTTCCCCAGATTAGGGAAGTTCTCAGCTATAATTTGTTTAAATAAACCTTTTGTCCACCTCTCTCTTTCCTCTTACTCTGGGACCCCAGTTATTCTAATTCTGTTTTGCTTTATGGTATATCTGATCTCTTGAATCCACCCTTTGTGATCCAATAGCTGTTTATCTCTCTTTTTCTCAGCTTCCTAATTCTCCATCATTTTGTCTTCTGTATCACTGACTCTTCTGCCTCATTTATCCTAGCAGTTAGATCCTCCATTTTTTATTGCATCTGAGTAATAGCCTTTTTTATTTTGTCCTGATTAGGTTTTAGTTCTTTTATTTCTCCAGTAAGGGATTCTGTAATGTCTTCTATGCTTTTCTCAAGCCTAGCCAGTATCTTTATTATCATTGTTTTGAATTCTAGTTCTGACATTTTACTTATACCCGTATTGATTAAATTGCTGGGCGTATTGCCCCCGTTCTTTCTTTTGGGGTGAGTTATTCCATCTTGTCGTTATGTCAGAAAAGAACAGGTGAAAGAGAGAAAATACAAAAATAGCAACAACAGCACCAGAAAAACACACTAAACAAATCAGAAGAAAACAGAAAAAGAGAGAGAAAAAATTCAAATAAGAAGTAGAACAGAACACAACAATAAACTAGATCCTGGTTTTATTTTGGTCCATTTGTTAGAAGAAACAAGATCCCAAAATAGGAAAGAAAAAAAAAAGATATATATACAAAAATAAAATTGAATACAGTGAAAATACAAAAATGAAATATATATATAAAGCATAAATGTGAAAATAAAAATTTGAAAATTTTAAATAAGAATTGATAAAATAAGAAAATAACTGAAAAGGAAAAAAAATGTAAAACTGAAAGCCTAAAGAATAATAAGAAAAATAAGAAAAAAACACAAATGGCATAAACTGTTTTCCTTAGGAGCTGAAGTTTTGCAGTTCTCTATTATCAGTAAACTTGGTATTAGCTGAATATTCCTGCTGGTCTTCTGGGAGAGGGGCCTGTTGTGCTGATTCTCAGGTGTCTTTCCCCTGGTGGAATTGCACTCCCCTTGCCAAGGGGCCATGCTCAGTGTAAGCGGCTCTGGATTGCACTGTGCGTCGCTGTTTTGCTCCCTGAAGGCTTTCAGCACCAATGGGGGTGGATGAAAATGGCAGTGCCCTGATCTCTAACCCTGGAGCTAAAAGTTCGTGCCCCCCCTACTCTTCATTGAGCCTCACAGAAAAGCAGTCAATCACTCTTGTCTCCCTGGTTTCCATCTGAACTCTGTGTTCACCCAGACTGTGAACTAGCATTTTTATCTCAGGGCTGTAACCCCATTTTTTCAGTGTCTAAACTTGACAGACTCCTGCAGCGGACCCATGCTGTTCTACCCAGGTTAGGGAGGGGGTTCTCCGAGCGCTTCTGCCTTTTCTTGGTCCCCTGCTTGGAGAGCAGTCGCCAGACTGTGCAGCTGTTCACAGTTTATGGCAACAGGGAGCAGAAAGCTGGTGCCTAGACTTGCTGTTTGCAGCCAGCTTCCCTGCTCCAATGCATGGGAACTTACCTACCCTCAGGCACCTCTGTTCTTTTTGTGACACCAGGGATCCTAAGACCACACTGTCCCACATATATTCTGCCCCACTTTGCCTCCTGAGCACCTTTGGATCAGTCTTCTAAAAGTTCCAATTTTGCACTCCACTGCTTATAGCACTTTTAAGTAGCAGGCTTACGGAGGCTCCCTCCCCCTGCGGTTTATCTTCCGATATATCGCCTTGGATTCCCGTCTCCACACCTCCTGTCTTGCAAAAAGTGGTCGCTTTTCTATTCATAGAATTGCAGCAATTCTTTTCTCAGATCTCTGGTTAATTTTGAAGGTGTTCAGAATGATCTGATAACTATCTGAATTCCAGGGATCAGACGAAATTAGGGTCCCTTGTTCCTCTACCATCTTAACTCTGCCCTCTGCTGCTTCTTAGGGTTAATTATAGCATGAATAACTTTAACATTTCTTGTCCGATATGAGGAACTGAACCATGGCTTACCATTTCTCTTCCTAGAACTCACATATATGTACATTATGCTTAGCAGTACTGAGTAAATAAATAAAAATAAATTAAATATAATAAATACAAATTTAAAAAACCCTACATCCAGTTTTGTTTCTACAGTCACATTTTCTAACTTAAAAAAACAAACTTTCTCAAAAACATTTTACCCACTAGTAAATGAAAAATAAAAGGTTTTAAAGCACTATATCTTAAGGTGTCATGATACTGAAAAGAAAAAAAAATTTTTAACAAGTTTTTTATTTAGTTTTCTAGTTCTTGTATTTAATGTTATAAGAATCAATTTCCAGCTTGACTTTATAGTAAATTTAGGAAGAATACTGTTATAGTGGAAAAAGTATTGGCCCAAGAGTCTACAGAATTCCTTGCAATTAATTCTTTGACCTTGAACAAGTTTCATGATTTGTTAGGTCTTGGTTTCTATTAGAAAATGGGGGGGTAGTCTAAAGAGTTTAGAAAAGATCTCATACAAGTTGAACACCCTCAATGGTCCAGATTTTGCATGTATGTAGAAAAACACCTGTCCTGTATACATGTTGATAAAACATGACAGTTTAAGCAAACTGGATTTTTCTTTAAAGCTCTCTCCAACTTCAGCTTTCTCACTTTTTTCTGTGATAAAATTATTTTGCTAATCTTTAATATGTCTTAATCAGTTTATAAATGCAAAGCCAGCAATATAGACAAATACACTGGCTTTGGTTTTTTTAGTCTCAGTACTGAGGCTTACATCAGGAAGTTTAACTGAAAGAGAAAAGCTTGAATTTATTATTTATACTTAGTCCTGTTCCAGAAAAAAAAGGGAAGTTCATGTTTGTTTGTTTTTTTCACTTTCTTACTTAAAGTTTGGCTTCTTTTTTCCTCCTTTTTGTCTTATGTTTTGGGCCTGTTCATAGACTTTCAGGAATAATTTGTAACTTGGACATTAAAAGTCTTTAATAGTGTATTTTCCTGCTTTTGCCCTAATTGAGAGTCATGGTATCAGAACTGGTGGCAAGTTGTTCTGCTCTTGGTAATTAGCTTGTCTGTCTTCTGAAACAGAACTAGTCTAATATCACAGAAGGCTTTAAACCACCCTTTCCCTTTCTCTTAATTTTTTTAAATTTTCAAGTCAGAAAAAAAAAGGAGTATATGCCATGTATTTATTTTAAGTATCCAAACCTTTTCCCGGCTCGTTTATTTTCCTCTTTCAAAGCTCCCTGGTTATAAGCAAATATTTTTAGCTTACAATGTTACATAATAATTCTCTTCCCTTACACAACTTTTACTTCTAAATCTCTTTTAAGAGTTTTGTCTTTTTTCCTGAACCTTTTGAATAAAATTTATCTTGAACACAATAGAACAGGTTTTAAAAGTTTACAGAATTGTTTCTTCACAGAAAAATTTCATTATTTCCCAGGTCAAACACCAAAAACTGAAAATGATGAATACTTTCAAATGGTATAAGAATCCCACCTATTAAGGGAGGATAGTATGGAATTTGACAGCATTCATACTTTAAAAAAAAAAGTATCTTCAGAAGAATTAGTCTCAATTAGGATTCCTGAGAGAACGTTTTTTACTATTCTGTCTGAATGCTCATGTATCTGGGTTAGCTTAGCTATGTTGTAGATTTCTCATATTTATACTAATAGTGTTGAGCTGTTAATGATCATCTATGTGCTGATTGTAGAAATCAAAAAGTAAAATAGTATTTAGGAAGAGTAAATTCTAAATACTGTATAAATTTGTTATTTAATTATTAAGCAGGTTTCATTGTTATCAATTTTCCCTTAAAACAATTACTTAAGTAGACAAATACATCTAGACTGGTCTCATTATATAAATGACAGGCATATAATTAGTATGTCCAGCTGAGTGGAACCAAATGCCTTCACTTGGCTTAAAATTTGAGACTGTAATGACAAAATTATGAACTAAACTCATTGCTCTTCCTATTGGAAGAATCACTGGAAGACAAATGTTGGTAAGCGCTGTAACTAATGCAGTTGCACCTGAGTAAATCAAACATAATCAAAATACATACCAGTGAGACTTTGTGGGTTACACTCATTCCTCAAAGGTAATAAAATGAAATTTATAGAAAGTAAATGATGTGAAGTATTGTGATTTATTTAGTTTTTTTAACAAAGAAATGCATTTTAAAGATATTCATGAGCAAATTAGCTTGTTTGTAAGACATACTACAAAATTATGGCTTTAGAGAAAATATGGGAATTCTTTAGTAAAATTTAAGTCTTTTTTACTTTTAAATACTGGGTTTAATTAATGTCTAAATCTAGTGTACTCCATTCTTCATTAGCCATAGTAATCAATATGTAAAGATTTATTTTCCTTTTAAGGATGTTACTGATTTCAAAGGTATTTTTCCCAGTTAAGTAACTGGGAAGATAAAAGAATTTAAATTGCTCAGGTACTCTTTTAGCTAATGAAGGTTTTATGTTATTCTTAGAATATTCTCGCTTCTTGACTAATCCTCATACTCAGTTAATCTTTATCTCTTTTCAGTATCAACTGATCAAATTCACCCATTCTTGAATCAGCACCAACTTCTACTTTCTTTCCATTAAGAACAGGTAGAATTTTGTAACTTTTTATGGTGTAATTCAAGGTTGACAAATACTGTGGTACTTTACGTTAAATACTATTCAGTTACTGTGTTGCATTCAGTAAAGTATAATACATAAAATTCATTTTGTAGTTTTGGTTAAAGAAAATATCCTGTTTAGGAGATTGTAGGCATTGTTTAATAAGATATATAATTCTCACAGTATTTTTAATTTTTCAACAATTTTTTTGTATTTTGATTAGTCAGAATTTTAATTCATAAAAACAAATTTGTTTGATAAAAATATACCAAATAAATAGATTTCTTATTCAGAGTAGAAAATATCATAAAAATCATGTATTCAAGTGTAATACTAAAATCAATTTAATCTTTAGACATTAACAAAGGAAGTGATCAATTGTTAAGCAATTTTAATTTTTCTTTTTACAGATCACATATTTTAGACTTTTTATTCTTTATCCTATGCTATGCAAATGCACTGTAGTTTTAAGTATATGACCAAAAATGTGCTTAAGACATTAAAATACGTTAAGTTTGGGGCGCCTGGGTGGCTCAGTCGTTAAGCGTCTGCCTTCGGCTCAGGTCATGATCCCAGGGTCCTGGGATCGAGCCCTACATCGGGCTCCCCGCTCGGCGGGAAGCCTGCTTCTCCCTATCCCACTCCCCCTGCTTGTGTTCCCTCTCTCGCTGTGTCTCTCTCTGTCAAATAAATAAATAAAATCTTTAAAATATGTTAAGTTTACTTTCACCTTTTAGTCTCTTTAATTTAATGACTTTTCATGGATATCATATTGCCTTATCTTTGACTTGATTTTGAATTTGTAAAGCTATATGTGTACAACTGAAGTTTACTTTCACATAGTATAGAAATAGTATATACGAAAGGTACTTCCAAGGCAGCTAAACAGTTCAGTTAACCAGGAAGATGCATTCTAACAATACACTGTTATATGGTAGTTGAGAACATAGGCTGGGTTCAAATACTAACTCTTTTATATAATAGCTGAATGACCTTAGGGAAGTTGCTTAATCTCTCTGTACCTCAGCTTCCCCATCTATAAAATAGGGATAATGATAGTATTTATACCTCAGGACTGTTACAAGGATCAGATTCATGTGAACAGTGTATGGCACTTATAAAACTCAAGAAATATGTTTTCACTTAAAAAATTTTTTTGAATATAGGTGACACACAATGTTACATTAGTTTCAGGTGTACAACAAAGCAGTTCAACTTCCATATACATTATGCTGTGCTCCCCACAAATGTAGCTACCCTCTCTTCCCATACAGTGCTGCTACAACATCATTGACCATATTCGCTATGCTATACCTTTTATTCCCGTGACTTGTTTATTCCATAACTGGAAGCCTGTATCTCCCACTTCCCTTCATCCATTTTGTCCATCACATCACCTTACTCCCCTTACCACTGACAACCATTAGTTTGATCTCTATTTATAAGTCTGATTCTGTTTTTTCCTTGTTTATTCATTCGTTTTTTTTTTCATTAGACTCCAGATAAGAGTGAAATCATATGGTATTTGTCTTTCTCAGTCTGATTTATTTCAATTAGAATAACATTTTATAGGTCTGTCCATGTTGTTGCAAATAGCAAAATCTCATCCATTTTATGGCTGTGTAATATTTCATTATATATAAACATATAAAACATGTACTATATAATTATATATAATATGTGTAATTTACTAAAGATATTAGTAATTTATTACAAATACTAATATATAGCTAAATATATAGTATGTAGTATATATTAATAAAATTCATGATACAATTTTTTTTTCCTTTTTTGTGTTTGTTTCAAGTTTTTATGTAAATTCTAGTTAGTTAAGGTATAGTGTAACATTAGTGTCAGGAGTAGAATTTTAGTGATTCATCACTTAAAAATAATACCCTGTGCTCATCACAACAGGTGCAGTCCTTAATATCCATCACCCATTTAGCCCTTCACCTGCCCACCTCCTCTCCATCAACCCTCAGTTTGTTTTCTAGAGTTAAGAGTCTCTTATGGTTTGCCTCCCCCTCCTTTATTTTCTGTCCCCTTCTCCTATGTTCATCTGTTTGTTTCTTAAATTCCATCTATGAGTGAAATCATATGCTATTTGTTTCTCTGACTTTTTTCTCTACCATAATACACTCTAGCTCCATCAACGGCATTGCAAATGGTAAGATTTTATTCATTTTATTCTTTTTGATTGGGTGGGTAGTATTCCACACACACCATCTTCTTTATCCATTCATCAGTTGATGGACATTTGGGCTCTTCCCATAGTTTGGCTATTGTTGGTAATGCTGCTATAAACATTGGGTGCATGTCCTCCTTTAAATCAGTATTTTTGTATCCTTTGGGCAAATACCTAGTAGTGCAATTGCTGGGTCATTAGGGTAGTTCTATTTTTAACTTTTGAGGAACCTCCATACTGTTTTCCAGAGTGGCTGCACAAGTTTGCATTCCCACTAACAATGTAAGAGTTCCCCTTTCTCTGCATCATTGCCAACATCTGTTAATTCCTCTGTTGTTAGTTTTAGCCATTCTGGTAGGTATAAGATGTTATCTCATCCTGGTTTTGATTTGTATTTCCCTGATGATGAGTGATGTTGAGCATCTTTTCATGTCTATTAGTCCCAATAGTTCATTTTTGCTTTTGTTTCCCTTGCCTCCAGAGATGTGTCTAGTAAGAAGTTGCTATGGCTGAGGAGAAAGAGGATTCAGCATGTGTTCTCCTCTAAGATTTTAATGGTTTCCTGTCTCATATTTAGGTCTTTCATCCGTTTTTGAGTTTATTCTTGTGTAAGAAAGTGGTCCAGTTTCATTCTTTTGCATGTGGTTGTCCAATTTTCCCAACACCATTTGCTGAAAAGACTCTCTTTTTCCCATTGCATTTCCTGCTTTGTTGAAGATTAGTTGGGTCCATTTCTGGGTTCTCTATTCTGTTCCATTGATCTGGGTCTCTGTTTTTGTGCCAGTTCCGTATTGTTTTGATGACTACAGGTTTGTAACATAGCTTTAAGTGCGGAATTGTGATGCCTCTAGCTTTGCTTTTCTTTTCCAGGATTGATTTGGCTATTAGGGGTCTTTTGTGGTTCCATACGAATTTGAGGATTATTTGTTCTAGCTCTGTGAAAAATGCTGTAGGTATTTTGATATGAATTGCATTAAATATGTAGATTGCTTTGGGTAGCATGGACATTTTAACAATATTTGTTCTTCCTATGAGTATG